AGCCAGTCACTGCACAGACCCGATTCCAACTGACCGTCGTCTTGACCCTAGCGTCCTTACGTGAACCATGCCAACCTCTTCACATTCGCCCAGTTTCTTGCGTCTCAGATTAAGTGGTAAAGGTATGAGGAGTGGCACAGATGACCTGGCAGCCAGCAAACGTTCTGGAAAGAACCCTTTCCCAGAGGCAAGGCTGAATTAAGAAACGAGAACCGAGAGTTTCTGACCTGCAGCCAAAAATCTTGCTGGGTGGTTTGGCTTTGCAGACTGGCTTCAAGATTCACAGAGGTCTGAGTAAGATGCCTCTCTCGAGGCTGCGGCCCCTCATATCGAGCAAGTAAATAAGAACGAGCATGGAGACCGTGCTTCGAGTCTTGGTCCAGGAGAAAGTGTGAAAAGTGAAATGTAAACCCAGTCATTACCAAAGCTAAAATTTGGGCTGCAGCTCCCCCAGCCTCCTCTTTGACGTGTGTGTGTGTGTGTGTGTGTGTGTGTGTGTGTGTTTACATGTGCTCAGTACTTGAAGCTTTTCCATGTGTAGAGAGCTGGGTATGTGTGTATCGACGCAAGCGTATTTATACGAAAAGATGTTTACACACTGAATGATCGCCCAGATAAGCCCCCTGATTCTACCTTTAAAGTGTCTCAAGAGAATTAACCCGGGGAACAGGCAATAATATGGGAACCGTAGACATTCTGGCTTGTTGGCAGATAACCACGATGTGAGCTCCCCTCCAAGAACTGGGAAAGAGAAGAAAGGGGATAACACAATGGCATAAAAAACGCACTAATCAAATCCACAATCGACTCTGATGACAGAGCAAAGATTCCAATCAAAACACAGCGGGGCGGAGCTGCAACAGGTTGTAAGCTCGGAGCTGGGCTCTTCCCAGGGGCCTCACCCACGCTTTCTTCTTAAACATCTAAGACACTCACACAGGATTTCAATCACTCCTAATTATTTTTTTTAAAGAAGTAAGTTTCAGGCTGAACACTAGCTCCTAAAAACAGGAAATATCAAAGTATTATGTGAATCATCTCTTCCTCGTTGCAACTGCTTCTAAAAAACCAGGCTAACCTCATCCTCAGATAGCCCAAGAATGCTCCTTTATCTGACGGTTGACCACAGGCTTGCACACTAACACAGAGCATGTGTCTAAAATGATTACTTACACATGGTCATAGTTCACAGCACATGAGGGGCCGGGATAGATATTGTAAGTGGTCCCTCTCGGGGAGGCCCAGGCAGCACGGTAGCAGGAAGGGTCTGGATGAGGCAGAGTAGGTGCTGCCTGAGGCCGAGAGTGAACTGCAGGCCTGTAGGGGGCTCCTGGAGCAGAGCCAGAGGTTGACAATTGGGGCTGGCCTCTAATAGCTATTGACTTGCATGGGGCGGGGAAGATGAGTGAAAACTCAGGAAGTAAATGGAATTCTGTGTAAGAAAATAGGAATGAAGCTGGTGTGGTGGCACACACCTTTAATCCCAGCACCTGGGAGGCAGGGGCAGGTGGATCTCTGAGTTTGAGGCCAGCCTGATCTACACAGTGAGTGAGAGACCCGGTAACGGGAAAAAATAAAAAAAAGAATGTTTTGTTCTATACCGACCATGCCAAACACCTCTGAAACCCGAGCTAACAACAGTCATTGTTGTTACTTCCCAAGAGCCAGGCTCTGCAGGAGACACTATCTCCCCAGTTTCTTGCCACTGGCCTATAAGCAGCTACTACTGTCCGCCGGAAGCCAGCAGGAGCATCCAGTACTGTGACTGCTGAGCCTCTGCTCTCCTCACACCCTGACCTGAAGTGGAGAGACCAGACCTAGAGCATGCACAGGAGAGCATCCGCTTGGGCTCCTCGCCACTGCAGGGCAGCTTAACCTCCACGCCTTTGTTCTCACTGGCCTCCTCTCTCCTCCCCACTAGGCTCTCCTGTCCACTCCTGGGGCCCCGCCCTTCTCCTGCCTGCCTCCCCCTGTGAGGCCCCATGGTCTTCTCCAGCCCTTGAGATGCTAGCCTTCCTTCCTGACTCCTCAGCCTCAGTACATCTCTAGCTCTCCCCGTGTTGCCCTCTGCTGGAGGCAGAAGTCATGCCTTCTAACTGGGATTATCATCCCCAAGACCAGGCCCTATTTGTCCTCAGCTCTGCCACAGCAGGGGCGGTGATGGTCAATGGGCATGTCACTGCTGGGGTTCCTGTTCTGCCATGCTAGACACCATGGACCGGTGGTGACATCTACGGTCTGATAACTCAAGGTCTGTACTTGACCAGCAGCTGTTATGACGCTCCCTGTCCAGTTAAGGGGTTTCAGTTCTAATGCTACTAAATCTGTTGCTCCCAAGGCCATTTAACCTTGATTTATCACGTGTAAAACAGGGATCATTGCCCTTATCGTGTCAGATTGCTGAGAGAATGAAAGGAGTTTTTTATTCAGAACATCTAGAACAATCGCTGGCACCTAGGAAGCACAAGGCAAGGGTGCCTTCTTTACTTTCTTGTTATCTTAGGACATGGCCAAAGCACCGCACCTACTCTAAGTGTTCCTGTGAAGACCAGTGAGCTCCTGTGGAACGAGCCTAATACACATCAGGCATTGCACAGGCCACCCCCCACCCCCATCCTCCCACAGAGCCTGGAAATGTGCCAGGCAGAGCCGGGGACCTGTAAACACTCGTGAACGGTTTGACACCTTCAAGAGTCCTGCCTTTTCTCACTTAAAGGATACAAAATTTTTCTTAACACTCAACAATTCCTGTGGCTGCTTGTGCCCATTTCTACAGATGAAAGCACTGAGGCCCAGGGGAGTAGTTAAAGGATTAGGCCACTCGGCTAGCATGTCAGACACAAGGCACCACCGATGGCCAATGCTTTAAAACACGTGCTGTTAGTCACTGTACAACCCAGCCCAAAATCCCCCAACCAACGGCTCCAAGATATCATTTGCCACTGAGTTCATCATTTCCTGAGTGTCTTCTAATGATAAGCATTAAGTCTGGGACCAGGAAATTACCAGGTGCCAAGTCAGCCAAGGTCCTCAAGCCATAATCGAGGGACTTTTCTGGAAGGTGAATGTGCAGTGTCTGTCACCATGGGGACACCCTGTTCAAAGACGGTGAAATCCTTTTGCCAAAGCCCCTTTGATATCAGGGTGGGACTATGCGTGCCTGCTACATAGAAGAGCCCCTAGGAGAGCCGGGGGCTGGCAAGGAGGGGCCAGCTGGGAAAGCAGGACTGTCCATTGGAAGGTGGCCAGTTTCCCGAGCCATCTATCCAGATCACCCTCGTGATGCAGAGGACCCATGGGGGGGGGAGAGGTGACATGTGGGATGTCGGGGACAGTGCCTCCAGGGGATAGTGCCAAGTAAACCCCTCATGGAGAAGTCCAGGAGTAAGATTTTTTTAAAAATGGTGACTCACCTTCCCAGAGCCTGCCCACTGCAATTCTCTGCCAATGTTTGTTAAATGTAGGGTCAAATGGGCAATAGCAGGCAGTGAATGAGCCAACATCTGCCTTCCCGTCCATTCCTGGGGTCCTCCTCATCAGGCTTCAGGGCATGCGTCATACTCTCAGTCACTGTTCCAAAATCCCATCCACTCCACCCCCACAGACGAAGGAGGCACCCCAGTGTTCACCCTCGCTTTAGAGCCCTCTGGACAAGTCCTGTAGCCTTAAGAAAAAGAGCAGAGCCAGGGCCCAGGAGCACTGGAGGAAATCTTGCCTCCCTCCCACACACACCATCAGTCAGAGCTGTCAGCTTCCAAAAATGTTTAGCAAGTGCGGCATCAAGAGGGACATGCTGGTGGGCCGGGTGTGGGAGCCGGTGTGGGGAGGGCCTTCTCTGGCCCCGAGTTCCAACAGTCTGTCTCCAACCAGCTTCTAGCTCCCGTTCCTCCACCAGAAAGCAAGGAATGTGTTGAGCACTAACCGCCCATCAGAGAACGCTACAGAAGGTGGTCTCTGGGAGCAGAGTAGTAGGTGCTCCAAAGGTCAGCTACATCTCCCGAAACCAACCCCAAACTGCCTCCCTCTCTGGCTTCCCGAAGCCTCTCCTCTCCTGACTGGGACAGTCACATCCATCAGGTCAGCCTGTCCCTAAAAAGTCCCTGCTGACTGGCAGCCAAGAAAAAACAGCATGCCCCTGCTCCCTCCTGCCAGAGGAGGAGGAAGGCACTAGTCCAAGAGAAACTGATTGGCCCTTAAGGATTTCCTTAAAAGAGATTGCATGGCCAGGGCCTGTCACCCAGCCCAGTAAGGGGGGTGGGGTGCCTGCTCTGCCCGGAAAGGTAGAAGTCACCGTTTCTCTTCCAGGCATTCTCTCACTCATACCAACATCTCCCAGATCACCGGAGCCACCAACACTGCCAGCACAGACTACCGGGGAAGGAGGGGCTTAGCTTGGGCAGCCATTCTGAGACAGCCAAGCCACCAAGCCAGCAGCACCTGGGCAGAATCCCTTCTCGGTAAAGATGGGACGGGGCAGGAGCAAGCCGTCTTCAAGCTAGGAGGAGGGCAGATTCAGGGCAACCACCTAGCATCCCTTGTCCTGGATCTCATAGCCTGGCCAAGTGGTATCAACCCGAAGAGGAACCAGACCATTCTGCCACCGGCTTACAACCCGAGGCCCTGGCATAGACACACAGCACAGCACAGATACGGTCTCCTTGGGGTCAAGTACTCAACATTCAAGCCCTAACATTTCCAATGCCAGCATGCGCTTTTTGAGATCACCTCTGCACCTGCTCCAACCCCAAAGAAACTGCAGGCTACTAGCATCCCTCAGCTTTGCAGAGCTCCTTGGGCGAGCCTCTGGCACCCTGGCCACACCCACTGACCAGAGTATCCTTCCAATCTGCCAGCTAAAAAGGTATGCTTCCTCTGCCCCAAGTACATTATAGTAGCCTCTCCTCCAGGCGGCCGTGTCTCTCCCCCATGAAGAATTACCCATCACCACCACAACCCCCAACAGTGCTCCCCCCGCCCCCCCCGCACACAGCACCGCTCACCTGGGTATCGAACCCGTTCTCCAGAGAGCTGCTTTTCCGCAACGGGAGCCCCTCCCCCGTTGGCTCCTGCAGCCCCTGCGATTTCAGGGGGATCTGGCTAGTGTAGGCCGTCTTGCTCACCTCCACCTTGCTTCCCAACTTAAGGTAGCAGGGCTGGGGACCAGTCCGGGCCGGGGGCACGTGCAGGATGGGCGCGGCGCTGTGCACCGGTTTGGGCAGTCCCGACTTCATTTTGGAGGCTACCAGGATGGCCGGCATCTTCTCCCCGGGCTTCGGCTTTCCCAGCACGTCCCTGGCAGCGGCTGCGGAGGCGACCGCTAAAGGCAGCGCGGGCAGCCGAGCAGGCGCCGGGCTTCGGCCCGCGAGGCGCCCACCAACAGTGGAGAAAAAAATAAAATAAAATAAAACAAAATCCCCGGGCCGGGGAGCTGGGGAAATCCTGCGAGCTCGCCTGCTGGGTGGCGGGCTGGTCACTGCCCTCGGCAGGTCCCACCTGCGCGGATGTCGCAGCAGCGGGAGGCCTGTTCAGAAGCCCGGGGACGGCCGCCTCTGGCGATTCTTCTCCTGGGAAGCAGAGGCATGGGCGCCCATATTAACTTGTCATCGCGTCTCCGGAGTGTGGAGATCTCCTCAAGGGAAAGACACAGGCTAGGGACGCACGCGTCGCGCTCCGGAGGCTGCGGGTGCGGACTGCCGAGCGGAGGACGGGGGTAAACGGACGGCGCACGGAGCAGGGGAGGAGGTCTCCGCCGCGAGGCGGCTGTCACCCTTGCAAGCACGCACGCCGCAGCGGCTGTCACCCGCGCTGAACGCGGGCGGCGGGTGGTCTCCCTAGAAAGGTCTTGTCTGGGCGTGACAGCCGATCGCCGCTGTTCCTAAGCCCGTGGAACACGCAGCGCCTGAGCGGATCTGCCCATGCCCCGTGCGCTGGAGAGGAGCACGGCGGTGGCGGCAGAGCGCGGGCACCGGGACGCCGCAGCTGGCCGCCGGGCTGGTTGCGCTGCTCTGCGCTGCGCTGCGCAGAGCTGAGCTCCGGGGAAGGCAGCGCGGGCTGCCCAGGGCTGGACGCAGGGGAGGATCGGCTGCGGCGCGCGCTGACAGCCCGGGCCGTTCCCGCCCGCCCATTGGTTCGCGGAGGACCAATCCGCGGCCGCGGCTCGCACTGCAAGGGGGCGTGGCCTCAACTCCCGGGGCCGCCGCCGAAACTCGGGGGCCGCGCTTTGGCCGCAAGTACAAAGCGAGCTGGTGGCCGCTCTGCGGCACGGCCCCTGGCGCGCGCCTCCCCGCGGGCCGCCGCCCCCACCTCCACCCCACCCCCGCGTCCCCGGAGCCGCCCGAAAACGCCGTTGGAACGCAGATTCCCGCCTTTCCCCGGTTCCCCCCCACCCCCGCCCCCGCCCCGGCATGTGTCAGGGGAAATCGGTTTCCCTTTTTCAAAATGGCTTGGGTCATCTCAACGGTTTGTGGGTTCCGGAGGCACGCCCCAGTCTCCCTGCACCTCCATCGGGATTGACAGAGCAGGTCTCCTTGTCCCCTGCCTGAAGGACACTCCAGTCATTTCTCCTTTCCGGGCGGGCCCAGGGGCCTCCCAACAGCTTCCCTCTGGGACATTCAAAGGTTGCACATTGCACTTAAGTATTTGAAGTATTTATAGGCTGATACAATGGCCGGGGAAGCTTCGCGCCCAAGACAGCTCCTCCCGCCACTTACCACACAGACTGTAATTAGAGTGACTTGGTGACCGGGGCAGGCTGAGGCCAAACCTGCACCGGTTTCCTCGTTTCATCCAGGCCTGCCTGGCTGGCTGCGCCTGAGACGTGCCAAGACCACAGTTTCCTCCACTTGGAATCGCTGGAGGATCCCTTCCTCTCGGACACAGAGCCTGGGGGCTGAAGGGAAAACAGATAGATGGTCCAGACACGCTGCTTCTGGGCTGATCATGGAGGAGACCCACGTGGAGAACGGTTTGTATTTGAATTCAAATTGGGAAGTTTCCCCACCCTCACTGACTTTGTAAAACGGCGGGTGTCTCATGCAGACAAGTGGAGGTTTGAGTACATTTCCCTAAAAGCACTGCCCCAGCTGAATAGATAGTGCCTGCCAGTGGAGGGGGTCAGAAAAGATTGTGTCTTTGTTGCTAATATGCCAGTGTGTGCCAGTATTCCTACCCTGTAGCCTGATCTACGACATCCATAGAGTTAATTTTCAATCTCTAGCAAAACTAACGTGGCTGTGAACAGTGGTGCCAGCCTGTAATTTCTGCTGCTGCAGAGGCTGAGGCAGGAGGATCCCAAGTTTGGGGCAATTTAATGAGACTCTTGTGTCCAAATAAAAGTAAAAAAGGGTTGGAGACGTAGCTCGGTGGTAGACATCTTGCTTGCTTAGCATATACTAGTGCCCAGTATTGGAAAGCACCCTGAGTGTCAACTTGTATCAGGCAGTGAGTGAAGCCTTTGGGAGGCGGTGAGCACATGATCAAGGATTCCTTGATCCAAGGATCAGTGCCCATATTAGAGGAGGAGATGGGATGAAGACAGATGATTGCTTTCTGATAGTGAAACGGTAGCCTTTCCCAATCCACAGAAACAGCCCTTGACGAAAATTTGACCATGGCTACAGCCTGACTTCAGACCCCCAGCCTCTAGGCCGAGAGAAGAGAGAGAGAGAGAGAGAGAGAGAGAGAGAGAGAGAGAGAGAGAGAGAGAGAGAGAGAGAGAGAGAGATGTTTATCATTTAAGTTGTCCTGTCTAAATCATTTTCCCATAGTAGCTTCAACTAAGACCCCAGACCCCCAGAGTGTGGAGAGGTAAGACAGTACTCCCCACCCCCACGCATTCTGTTTGCAGGGACTTTTTACCCGAGTTAGAGGGAGATGCACTTAGCCTGTGTTAGCTCTAGGTCCTGCTCTCTGAAATGAAATCGCAAGTGGTCCCCGACCTGGTGCGCTCTGGCCTTGCCCATCTGAATGGCCTCCTATGCTAGTGTCTTGCCTTATTTATCTTATTCATTGTTTCACGCGCTCCCTCCAAAAGGAATAAATCTTTTGAAGAACCATATTTTGACTTTCATGAGATTCTGTCAGAACTGAGCAGAATGCTGTGGACTGAAAAGCTACCCAGATTGTTACTTAATGAATGCGTGGTGAGCTTGCCTTTTAGTAGGAACGTACCAAAATGAAAAGGGCGTATACTGCATTCTGCCTTGAACACTAGTCCTCACAGCTGTATGAAGAGCTGTAGAAGACATTGCCATAGTCAACTGTTAAGGATGGTGGATACCCTCAGAGCTCAGATGCAGTGAGTGTCCAAAGTTCCCAGATACCCTCAGAGCTCAGACGCAGTGAGTGTCCAAAGTCTGGTCCCCAGAGCAACAACAGAAAAACCTGTAACTCTGATATACTCTGCCTGCCCCCCCATCCCACCCTCCTGAACACTCCCAGAGGGTAAGGAGTCAGGGGTTAGGCGATCTGTGCGTTAACAAATTTTGATGCGTACTAAAGCTGAAATTTCTAGCCAAATGAAGTGTGCATTCAGTGAACTTCTGGGGGCCCCCCTAAACCTTCATAAGCATGAGAATCACATATTCCAATTCAGCAGGGTCTCCAAGATTCTGTCTTCCAAATAGACTCCCAGGTGATGGATGCCCCTCCTGGGAGACGGTAAGGTTAGCCACTGACACCAAGGGTGTGACAGCTTAAGGCCAGCCTAAGTCAGGCGGCTTTTGTACCGTGGTTCTGAAGAGTCTGGGGTGCATCCATCTAGCAGGAGACAGCTATGCCAGTCATTGGTAAAGTGCCACAGACACAGAAATGGACGTAGTGATGCCACAATGTGTATCTACCAATTAAAAAAAGATCCCAGTTAAATCTAAATTGCCTTCAAAGCCATTTTTGTGGATTCTAAGACTGTCAAATATATACAAAAATAAAAGTCAGTACATTCTTTGAATTAGAAGTATTTGTAGGCTGGGGTCTCAATAGGTAGAATGTCCCGTAAGCACAAGGACCTGAGTTCCCTCTTGTGTTTTCTTTTTTTAAGTGTGTGTTATGATTGTATGTTGTTTAAGCCTCTGCCCTGCATACACATACATCCACATACACCTGCACACACTTGTGCATTTACACACTCCGGAACACTCATAATATTATCATTTGGTAGACAAAGGCACACACCTTTAATCCCAGCATACTGGAGGCAGAGGCAGGAGGATCTCTGTGTGTTCGAGACCGGCCTGGTTTACAGTTCCAGGATAGGCTCCAAAGCTACACAGAGAAACCCTGTCTTGAAAAACCAAGACCAACCAACCAACCAACCAAACAAACAAAAACAAAGGCACACTCTCCCTTAACTGCAGGTTGTCTATAAGACTGAAGTCTGCTGAGGTCTCAGATAACTGAAGGCACACCCATCTTCCTGTAAGCTTCCAAATGTCTTTCTCTGCCTCCTCATCCCTTTAATAAGCTTAGTTGCTCTTTCTTGCACAGTTTCATTTCCAGTTTTTTTCTCTTCTCTGTTTTTCCTACCTTAAATAAAATATCACATAAACGAGGTAAGGGAGAAAAATAGCAAACGGGAGGCAAAATGAATCAGACTATGGCCAATTACAAAAATACTCTGAAAGTACGCTGCTTCCATATGGATGTGATGTTAAGATGAAAACAGGCAACTTCACATCAGTGTAGCTGAAAGAGTCAGTAGTTCAGAGAACATCAAGATATTCTGGAAGAAAATCGGTAATTTTAAAGACTATTTGTTCACTTTTATTACATGCAGTACAGACAAAGACGCAGAAGGAAACAAGCCCAGCTCTAAGCCTCAGTGTTACAACACTTACTTTTTTCTGTCCTGACTCTAAACTTTCAAAATCGCCCAAACGTCAGCAATAGGCCAGTTTGAAACTTAGCACCACAGTGCTCAGGACCACTGGATGATCTTGAGTTTGGAAGTCCCCTGGGGGGTAGGAGGCATCCTCCAATCAGGAAGCACCAACTGTACCCCTCCCTCCATGATCCCCATAGTCAGCTGCTGGTGGTTAGCTAAGTGGGGATCAGGCTGACCTGTAGGTGACCAGCCCCATCAACCCATCCTTCATATAGTTACAGACCCCATCTGCCTGACCTCCCAAGAAGACAGTCCTGCGAAGAGCCAAAAACATCTTAAACTCCAGCCTGTCATGGAGGAAAAAAATGCAAGAAGAGTCAGCTGCCCCCTGCAGACCCTCAATTATGAAAGAGAAAGAAAACTGCAATGCTCTGAAGGAATATAAAAAGCAGAACATTTTGTGAGTCTATTTGGAAGTTTTTTTTTTAAGCACAACAGTTTATATGGGGAAACATGCTTGTCCCTAGTTTCCTAAGACATAAATTGTCAGTTTAGGAGTCATGTCCCATGGATGGCACAAATGCTCACTTTCAGTAGTAGATGAGTTAAGAGCTCACCCAACCTAGACTGTGGAGATTCAGACCTCCAGAAACCTTCCTATTTACAGGTAGACAATACTCTCTTGGAGCAGACTAACCACCATCTTGGTAAGAGCAGCTGTGTCTGCTTGCAGAAGATCGTCCCAGCTGGCCTTGTTAACTGTTGACATTCCCTCATTGAAGGGGGTGGGGTAGGAAGGAAAAGTCATTGGATCTTCCTAAACATTCAGCTACACCCCCAAGCCAGTCATCTGCGACTCTGCAGCTTTGCATGTGGTCTCTGGGATCTTGGAGAGGGGGCCGAGCATATGATCTGGGAAAGGGAAGAGGCTCCATCTTCACAATCATGTACTGAGTATTGACGGTCTGGTGTGTCTGCTTCAAGGTCTTGGCGCTCCTGTCCATAACCACACACCCATGTTCCCTAAGTAAGCCAAATAAAGTCACTGGCCTCCAGGTTGAGTTTTGGTGGAACTGAACCATTTTAGGACATTTTAAAGCGGGTGTAGATATTGCTTAGTCCCCCCTCCCCTGGCAGAGAAGTCTTGCAATATCCATTCTCCCTAACCCGCTTCTAATTTCTTGTGTCCTTCCAGCAAGGGTCTGATTGTAAACCTCACTGCATGCCTAGGCATCTCTGGGTTGTTTCTGAGAGCTGTAAACTGAGATTCCCCATCTGCAGACACTGGAACTGTGTGAATGTGAGCCTACAGGCTCCCAAGGCAATGGTCCTGACTACAAGTCAAACATCTAGCAAACAATTGGTCCATCAGTGGCTCAGCCGTCATCTCAGAGAACAGACATTTTAACATGGGGTCCTAGACTCTGAGCGTACGATGGGAAGTGACTATGTCCTCCTCTTAGTTCCCAAGGGTGCTATGGCCGCTGTCCCTCTACTTGAAGGCTGCTCTCTCCCAAGTAAACAGTTGAGAGAGCTGTCTGTCAACCTAGCAGGGGAAATAGATAAATGACAAAATAGCATAACCAGGGTTCCAGTAGAAGCTTTATAAAGCAACCCATGATGAGACAGGCACAAGGGAGGGTCGTCTAGTCACGAGGCTATCTGCCTTTGCCCATTATTTTTTTCCGACAACAACAATAAAAAGAGTAACATATGTTTTTCCATTAAGAGATCGTGGTCTCCGATGCCTTCCTACATCTAGGAAGGTGTTAGTGTGTTTGTCTTGCTTGCATCTGGCTTCCTTCTACCGAGGACTTCTACAAAGCCCACATCCAGCGAAACAGTGACTAAAGTAAGAATTAATGCAGTCACTGTAGAAAGCATGCCTTACTTAAAACCTAGACTGTGGCTACTTCCTTTGCCTCCTGTAGGAGGGAGAAGGGTTGTGTCAGTAAGTGACACCAGCACTGGCCAACCACAAACGTCTGAGAGCTCACACTTGCTGCATCCAGGCTGCTCCAGGTGAGCCTCTGGGCTGAGTGTCTTGTCGTCTGAAGAATGGACCAAAATGCAGGGGGCGGGGTGTCAAGCCATGCTCTTGTGAATACTGAGTAAGAATTCCCTGACATTTCATGTGAGGAGCCCTTGGGGGTGAAGTAAGCCAGAGCCAAGTGCAGACTCCCCAAAGTGGCAAGATGTATTACCCAGTAGCCTGTCACTGTGACAAGTACCTGAGATGAGGCAACGGAAGGCTTTTTTCCCAGCTCACGGATTTGAATGATACTGTCGGTGGAGCATGAAACCCTGTGGCTTTGGGCTCCAGGCAGCAAGGACATCATCACACAGAGTGTTGCAGGCCAAATCTGGTCAGAGTGGCCAAGAAGCAATGACAGAGAAGAGGCTAAGGTCCCAGCCTCCTCAACGACGTGACTTCCTTCCAACAGGTCCCTACCTCTGCCTGTCTGCGCCCTCTCCGTGGTGACACAGGCTGGGGAAGAAGCCTGGGACTCACATCCTTTGGAGGACACTCGTCCCCACCACACCACAAGGTGAAGCCCTGTACTGAGTTGTTATTCTGAGTGACTACATTTTTCCTTCAATCAAGGGGAACTATAACTCATATATATATGTAAATACCATAAGGAAAGCTATTATTTTGTAAGCTAGTTTAAAAGGAATTAAAGAGAACTATAAACAGATCCATTTGTGGGATCTGGGTTTTTTTTTTTTAGCAGCAGAAGGATGAGAATGGGAAAAAAGAAACAGACCCAAGAAGAGCCTGGTTCTGATGGAAACAGGAATTCAGAATCAGGGATGTCCGGGAGAGGAACGTGGGCTTGCTCCCCCACCCACCTGCTCCCCACTCCTGAGTGGCAGAGTTACGAAGTCATGCTTCCTGTTTGGCTTAGGGCAGGGTTATTGTGGGGCTCTGCCTTTTGACAGGGGCTGGGATGAGGGGTGAGACACAGAAGAGACTGTCCAGGTCCTTCTGGCCCATACCGTGGGCTGAGACTGCACTCAAGGGCTACACATCCAGCATCTTGAAGTCAGGGTCTCCACCCTCAGGAGGCAAAGGAGAAAATCGAATCATCTAACCTGTCCAGAGCTAGGTTGATTCTACCTGCAAGCTTTTTTGTTGCTTTTTAAGTCTCTACCTGCTTTTCCCCTTTCACTCTTACAGATAAGGAAAAACTATATGTTATCCACTGAGGGGTCTAGCTGATTCAGTTTCAAACTTGCTTTTGGTATTTGTTTGTTTGTTGTTAATATCTAAGGATATTATCAGTAAAGCAACTCCACAACTCTCTGCTCCTAATGTGAGTCCCCCTGGGATTCCCTTACGTGGAACAATTCCCACAGCACCCTGCGGTTGAAAAAATAAATAGACTAGAAGGCCAAGTAACCTCACAGGTTGTAAAGGGCAGAGGCCTTATTATTTCTTAATTTTACTTAGTTTTATTTTGTATATCTGGGTACTTTGCTTACACGTGTGTACTGCATGTGTGTCTGATGCTTATGGAAGCCAGAAGAGGTTGTCACATTCCATGGAATGTATGAAATCTGCCACCACGTGGATGCTGAGAATTGAGCTTGAGTACTTGGGAAGACTAGACAGTGCTCTTAACTGTTAAGCTGTCTCTCCAGCCCAAGGGCACGGGTCTTACAGCTAAGGCAAGGAAAGAAGAGCCGTCAAGGGGGCCTTTGAGAGATGTTCAGCCTCTGACGCAGAGCATCCTGCTGCTATTCAACGGGAGCCAAAGAGAGCTTGGACCCAGGCTCTTTAAACATAACATTACTGGGAGACTGCTAAAGGCTCTGTGTCCTTCCAGCATGCCTAGAATTCAGATTCTGGGCACCTACATTTGAAACGAGCCCTCGAGTGGCTTGGAACCAGCTGGTTCTAGGTCTCCGCATGAAGCCTTGGCCATACATTACAGTCCTCCTGGGATTAAACAAAGCGAAAGCTACCAGAAACGGCTGTGCACCCAGGAAGGCAGCCACTCTGTGGTGTGGCCCCGGCAGCGGCACGGTGCCTTTCTGGTGCAGACGAACTGGGAAGAGCTGCTGTAAACGTGGCTGATGAATCAGGGATACAGTTCAGGGTCTGAGTGCTTGCTGACAGGCAAAAGGTCCCGGGTTCGGTTCCCAGTGCCGCCAAAGGCAGAACAACAGAACGGAGCCGGTAATGGGGGTGGGGCCTGAGAGTTAGCAAAGTGCATTGCACTCTTGTGATGGTCTGTACAAATCGCCGACTTGATGGAATCTAGAGTTCGTTATTTATATCATTGTCTCCAAGAATTCGTCCTGGAGATAAATGTCTTGGCATGTCTGTGGAGGATTTTCTAGACTAGATTAGCTGTAGCGGAAAGGCCACCCTAAACGAGCGCTGAACCATTTCGTGGACGGGAGCCCTGGACTGCACAAGAAGGAGAAAGTGAACCGAGAATCCGCACCCATCCGTCTCTGGATTTCCGGACCTCATGCGCAGCCTCCCCAGCTGCCCACTCTCCCTCTCCCTTGCCTTTCCTCTCCCCTGCCATGATGGACTATGCCCCTTGAACTGTTAGTCTAAGTAAACTCTCCCTCTTTAAGCTGGTTTTTTTTAATTGTTTGTTTTTTTTTAATTTTTTTTTTGGTCAGGCATTTGGTCACAGCAATGCAGAAAGTAATTAGTACTACACATGAATGAAAATATCACCATGAAATCCATCAGTTTGTGCAATTAATATATGCTGTTAAAAGAGAGAGAGAGATGCTACAAAGGCCTTATTCTCATGGCATTTGCAATGGGAGTGGCGGTACCGAAGCAATAGCTAGATAATTTTAATTAGTGTTAAAAGCCAATCTGGAAAGCTCCAGGGCTTCTGCTACTTCCTGATTAGATTTGCTTCTAGAGAAAAGACACTCAGTCACAAGTAGCCCAGGCAACCAAGACAGCCACCGTGGCTTCATGCAGCTTAAGGTGGCTGGGTCCTTACACCTTAGGAGGACCCTAGGCTCCACTCATCCTCCACCCCCTGGACCACACCTCTCTGGTTACTGCTGCCTTCCAAGAAGCCTGTGTGCCTACCCTCTGATGCTGGCAGAAGCCTGGCCAGCATTGCATCTCCTGGTCAGCAGAGGCTCCTGGCTACCGTGTGACCTCCAGGGATAGGGAAGCAGGCCCAGGCAACAGGACTCAGAGACAACGCTGTAAGTTAACTCTTGGGGGGATCCATGCTGACAGCAGGGTCCGCTAGTGTGAAAAGATCTCTGCTGAATGTTAACCTTTAAAAATGTAGAGCACTGGGATGCACTTTTTGATTCCCTGCTTTATTGGAAATCACAGTCTTTCTCTTGTTATTTGTATTCTATTAGCTCACTTAATGTGCAGAGTGGTTTCCTGAAGTATTTAGATATGTCTAAATTGTCTGAATGTATATGTGGAAATAATTGTGTATAAAGAGAAGGGAGTTAAGGGTCTGTATTTATTATATCGTGCTTCCAAAGGCTCTGAATTATGGGGTGATATTTTAAGTATTCCATAGTTGGATTGTCTGTGTTTTTAAATATATTTGTTTGAAACTTTCATTTATCTAAGAAACACTCAGTAAGCCCTATCCTAAACCATCCATTGTGCCAGTGTTAGCCTTGGTGATGAATACACAGCTGGCTTTCTGTCTGCCTTCTGCCTTTCCAGGGAGCTGCTTTCCCAACCCAAACTGACCAACCCAACAAAAAGGCTGTGACAGTTGTCCATGTAGCAAGGTCACTGATAAGGTCTCTGTAAGACACAGAGAAAGAGGCTCTGGGAACAATTTTTCTTTTTCGTCCTTCCTTCTTCCCTTTATCCTCTTCCTCCTCTGCTTCCTCCTCAACCTTATTCTTGAAACAAAGTTTCACTATGAAGTCCAAATAGACTGGAATTCCCTCCTTCCTACCCAAGTCTCTGCAGTACTAGTACATATAAGCACCACCAAGCCTGGGCCCCACCAGCATCGTTCATCTTCAGAAGCTCCAGGGTTACCCCTGAACAGTTAGGCACTAGAAATAATTCTAGTCTAGAAATAATCGT